GCACATAAACACAAATGTGCCTGTCAGCTGTACAAATCCAGGGGCGGATTGCACGGTATAGAGTTGTCATACTTGGTGCCGTACAAACAGATGTAGCATGTTATTGTAGTCTTTATTTTTGTCCCTGTGTAATATTTTTGCGATGTTCCAAAACTTTAGAGGGCACGATCCAGTGAAAAACCCACATGAGTTTCGATTTAGACAATTTGGTCTCGTTTCCCCAGATCTTTTATTAGTCATGTTCGGAGGAATACTCATTTTGTCCATTTCCTATTTCTGCTTCTGGGTGGAGGGGCAGCTACACCTCCTCTCACCCCTGAACAGTTTCTATACTCGGGGGAGGAAATCTGAATCCTTTCCTCCCTGGAAGCACCACCTTGTTTAAAACGAAGCATCATTTGACTTCAGTGACAGCTAGGGCTGCTCAATTAATCGTATTTTAATCGCGATTACGATTATGGCTTGCAACGATTACGAAAACAACATAATCGAAATAAAACGATTATATATATATATTTTTTTTTTTTTTTTTTTTTGTGGGTTTTTCAGTTGAATTATACTTAAAGTTCAGGGTAATCAACTGTTAAAAACATACTGTTCACATTTTTTTCTCCAATAAATGGATGTTTTTAAAGTCAAAGAATAATCGCATTTAATAATCGCAATTACAATTATTGACCCAAATAATCGAGATTATGATTTTTGCCATAATCGAGCAGCCCTAGCTGATAGCCGTTATATTGCCAGACTGGATGGGTGTCGAAATTGGAGGAATTTTTCCAGTTCACGCCTCAAACATTTCCCATGAAACTAATCCACTGCCACTCCCTTTTTGCTTCCAAATAACATTTAAGATTGCTACTGTGACTCTGACGCTGTTTTCAAGTGGCTTCTAGATTATCTATCTTGCCTCAGCTCCTAGCTACAATTTTTGTGTGTGTACAAGGACAGTGCATTCCTCTGTACTCCCTTTTTAAACCCAGCTGAGGTGCTGACAGCCTGTCTACTACTGCCTGGATACTCTGCAATCTCTTTCAGTCATTACTCAGCTCAGAAATATGAGATAAAGCGCCCCAGGAGCTCACCTCATTCTCTGCATCTCCTGCTTTGTGTAGCACTCAGCACTCGGGTGCTGTTATTTACCTTTTTGTACTAGGCAAGCACACATTTTGTTCCTCTTCTGGTGATTATCCCAAGCAAAGTAAGCTCTGTTTATCTATTGTAGTCCTTATCCGTTGATACCATAATGTCACAGGGAGTCACAATTATTGGGTAATTGAACAACAAATCCATTTTTTTAAGGAAATACGGACAGCTGTCTTCCGATGCGTTACCCAGCGGAAGGGGGGCACTTTTAATCTGTTCAGAAAAATGACAAGAAGCTGATTTCACCGTTTACCCATTTTCTGACATGTTGTCTCAGTTTATTTTAATCCTCCTTTTTAAGAAAAAGATTCTTAGTGCAACTGATCGTGTTGACTGAGCTCTAGATTTGAAGAATTACAGTTACAGTATGATTAACGCAAGGCTTAAGATTCAACCTCATGTAAACCATGAAAGAAAGGCATAACCTCGGTCACCATTCAGCGTATCAGCTTTCTTGTCCAATTCATCTGATTTCATTGTGGCTGTAATCACTGTGTCACTGGGGAAATTAAAGTAGAGGGGATGACTCTTAATGGTCTCTTTGGTGCCCAGTAAACAGCTTATGATTAGAAACGGATATTCATCTTGTGCTGTGTCATCTTATAAGACAATAAGTTGGTTCATTGTGGTCTACCCGTTGCAGACAGACACATTTTCCTTTCACTTATAGGAAGCCCTGTCCTTGTGATTCAAAATGAAAGAAAGCTGTTACTCGGGGAATGAAACAAGCATTCACACAGAATGCATGCGTAATGACAGAGGATTGGACACATTTCTAAAAGGTACTATTGTAGCTATTGAAAAACATTGACTAAATATTGTGTGGAAGCATACCTCAATTGAATATGTTTGCAACAAATGCAGGACAGAAATGTGTCTCTTTAGACGTTGCACTATTATTTAGGCTGCTTGTCTCTGCACTTCACAGCTGTAAGATATTAAAACCAAGTAAATCAAGCAGTTTCCTATAATGTTGCAATCTGCATTCCAAATCCTAGCAAATAGCAGCATGATTACATTAAGACTTTCTAAAAATATATAGATATACTTATTTCTTATACAGTTTTTTGTTGGGTAACTGCATTGTCACTGCTGCTGTTTGTCTATGCAGCTGAAATATATTGACAAACTAAGTTATGGGTACACTAGCTTTTTAATATTGTCCGTTGATTCGAATACGGGTGCTTTTTTAGAAATTGCTAAAAAAATGACTGGTTATAAAGGAAGCTGCAGATGCCAAGATACCCAGCATCATTTCCCACAATGCATGTATTCAGGGAACCCTCCCTGCCCTGACATCTTCAAACTTGTAACACAAACTTAATATTTTAAGTAAAACTCAATAAAGACCCCTGATATAACTGATCTCTAACTTGCAGCTTTATATGTAGGCCAGCAGTCCTGCACAGGCACATATGTTGTCCAGTAATCTGTTAGAAATGTCCCTATAAAGTAAAAACTGCATCCTCTTTTGTTTTGTTTGTTTAATATGTGTTCATGCCGCTGTAGCTTCATTTACCACACTGCATATTGCAGTGTCAGTAGTAGGTGTCTGTGTGTACACATGAATGAATGTGTTTTCAACAGATGTCCTTAATGCTCCGAGCCCTCTGGAGGAATCTCTCCTCCTTTCTGAGGCTGTTATCACTCAACACATCTGCCGCTCTGATTCCCACTAAAGGAAACGCAACTAACACAGTCATCTCCTGCAGCCACCCAGCCAGCAGCTCTCCAGGTCAGGAGCTTTTAGCCCTTTGGATTGCTTCAGGATTAGTTGTGCGCTGCCATAGTGGAATCAGTAATGAGACACGCAGTTACATGGTTGTTCCTATGACCAAATGTTCCCTTTTCTGTTTTACCCCCTTCCCACTGCAACCAGTAATCATGGCTTCCACCACCACCACCTACGGAAGCTTATTATCAAAGTCCAGTGTCCCCCCTTCCAGGCAGCGCTCTTTGGACTCCGCTTTATGAGTGGCAGCGTCGTGATGAGCCTGCAGAGATCAAACAGGATGGCTCAGTTTGGAGCTCAGCTCTTTGCCCCAGCCTGTTTGATGTGAGGTGGTTCCTCAGAAACCACCGTTTTTCTGGTTACGCCACTTTTTGCCTCTCTGTAACCGTCGTTGTTATTCTCTGTTTGGAATCATTTGAAAGGAGAATGAAACTGTGGAAAACTATCTGTAGTAGAGATGTCCCGATCCGATCACGTGATTTTCAAAAGATCGGAATCGGGAGAAAAAAATCGGGGATCGGGAATTATTATTATTTATAAAATATTTGTATTATTTTATTTAATGTTACAAAACAAAAATGACCATGTTCACGTCTTACAGTCATCCTGAGGCCTTAGTTTTGGTTTAAAATGACACAACATCATGTATGTGTTGCTTCTTTTGGGCTTGTTTTCATTTGCTTATTTCTCTCAAATCTGGCAACAGAGTGGGCGCAGTGTCTAATAGTAGCAGTAAGCTAACGAGAGGCTACGTTCAGCTGATGACTCGGGAGTCGGGACAGAGAAAATGTCAGGAGTTTGGAAGTATTATAAAATTGAAAGCGAAGGCAGTGTAACAGCCAGATGCAATGTTTGCAAGGCGGAGGTTCCGCGTGGTGGAAAGAAAAGAGCTACGTTCAACACGACCAATCTAATACGCCACCTGAGAAACAAACACCAACAACACGACGAGTACACAGGTAACGGCACTGAAACAACCGACACTTTCAGAGACTTTTAAGAGGAAAGAGAAACTGCCCCAGAACAGTGAAAAGGCCAAAAGAATAACAGCCAAGATAGCTGAATTCATCGCGTTTGATGACCAGCCGTTGTCTATTACCTTTTTTTTCTCTTAATGGATTGCATAAAGATCGGATCGAGAAAAGTCGGTATTGGCAGATTGTCAAAATCAAATGATCGGAATCGGATCGGGAGCAAAAAAGGTGATCGGGACATCCCTAATCAGTACTATGGTGCCATCAATGTTGAACTGGGTTGTCAGAATATCCGAGTTCCCAAACAGTCATTTCCACTGAAACATCCCTGAAGAAGACATATTTATTTATTTCCAGGAGAACCTTGACAATCCTTACTTATAAATAGAGATGGTTGCTCCATGCTGTACCTTAGTGAAAACCGTTGTAATGTAATCTTTTTTGGCACCTCTGTCTTATTGGTCTCATTAAAACAGTCATACAGCACTGTCCAACTTCTATCTGAGGATATGTTGTTGTAGCATTTGTATGCACAGAATAGTTCTTGTCAAATATTGCTAACAAGTTTAACCTGGCCAGAATGTTTTTTTGGACCGGCTCCAATTTCCATATTCCACGTACAAGTGGAAAGCATGATTAATTTGTAGTTTGATTTTGTGTTGTCAGCTCAGTTAACTTAAAACAACCACTCTTCTTCATTTGTTGGCCTTGTGAGCAGGCTAACTTGCCAGCAGGGTAATTCATTTTAGTGGCCGCTTGCAGCTTCTGATGCCAATGAGATTCTACTGTACATTTAAGGAATACACTGCGGAAATATTTTGTATCGAAACTTCATGGCCTGTAGGCTTGAAAGGTGGAGAACTCCCTAAATGTATAAAGAATACAAAGAAATATGGGTGCATATTTAGGCAGCAGCTGCAAGCTAATTAATTAATAACTTACGTAAGTATCAAACATCATGAAAAAATGTTAGCTGACATTTTGAAAATAGTAACAGCTGATTACAGCAATTGCCGGACATTTTAAAACTCCTGTAAAGAATCATCCACTTCCAATATGTGCAAAATAAGCGTATTAACAGTAACTGGGTTCCTCTTACATCTTTTTTTCATCCATTTTTGTTCTCTCTAATCTCTTTTCATGCACAGGCCCAGGACAAGAGGAAAGCTCTGGAAGAGACCAAAGCCTACACCACCCAGTCCCTGGCCAGCGTGGCCTACCAGATCAATGCCTTAGCCAACAATGTGCTGCAGCTGCTGGACATCCAGGCCTCGCAGCTGCGGCGCATGGAGTCCTCCATCAACCACATCTCCCAGGTCAGAAACACACACACACACACACACACACACACACACACACACACACACACACACACACACACACACACACACATACATACACACACACACACACACACACCACAGACCGTACAGCTGTGAAGAATGGTACCCCACGCTCCTCGCTTCTCCTTTTCACTTTCAAACAGACTCTCTTATTTTCAAACACAGTACAAGGACTTCTTTAGTAACCATGGTTCCTTTTTATTACTCAGTATTTGGTATCAGTCTTGCACAAGTGTCTGACTGGCTGTGTGTTTGGCTAAATGACTGCTGGTCTGTTTTTCTGTCTTTTATGCTCTTTTCCTCTTCTGAGCCACAAAACACATTATAAAACATGTACCACAATCTCTTTAACTGGCATTTATTGGTCTGCAATACTGATTACATAGCAGCCCTAACACACATAAGGACATCATTATAGGTCTGTCTTGAAGCCTGTAGTCATATTTGTAACATTTATCCCCATATACTTATATAATGTTATTTGACAGAAAAATATCAACAACAATTTTCCCAAAATACAATGATTCGAACCTATACAAAAGTGCTTTTTGAAGCAGTATATGTAATGTAATGGTATACATATATACCCTGGCAAATATAAATGCATCATTTATCAGATGAGGAGATCTTGCTTTACTCTGAAGACATTGATAGCTATCTCTCTGATATTAGTTTTTAGCCCTTGGTTTGATATGTTTCAAATTTAAAGGACAATATTTCATTTTTACAGAATTCTTGCATTCATGTGATGACCTGTTTTGATTTATCAGTCTATCAAATTCAGACATTTCTGTCTGGTGTTCATGTAGTTACCTCTTTCTCCAGAAAATCATCATTGATTGATTTTGTTTTCGATAAAAAAATCAGTGTTGCACATCAATATATAAGGTCATATCTAACTTATGTGTATCAAAATATGTTGCTTTAAACAGCAATGTTTTCTTTTCCCAACCTTTTTTCTTGCCATGGCTTGAGGGTTCTGCCATGTGCAGGTAAATCCAGCCGCTCATCCAATGAAGGCATTAAGAGCTCAGACAAATCAAACGGAGAGCTCCGGTCAGGTGGCATGTCGTAGATTAGAAGTGTGAGGCATTCACTGAACCGGGAACATGTATAACACAGTCTGTAATGTAGTGTATATTCTTAATAATGTTAGGGAGTGATGTGTGATGGAATGCAAGTTCCTTTTTACACTTCTTTCCCATGGATGCTATCTGTTTTTCCTCTGTCAGAGCTTTTCTAGGAGCGCCAGAAATTCATTCAGGTTTCACTGAAGGTCATCCTAATGGAAGGAAAGAGGAGTTGAGGGTTTGAGAGAGAGAGAGAGGGAGAGAGAGAGAGAGAGAGCAGAGAGATCCGGGCAATCGGAGGGAAGGATGAAGGAAATGGGAGATGGATGATGACAAGCAAAGAAAGGCAAGAGAGAGAAACCAAAAAGGCATATTTACACTCCTTCAGATTTGGAGTCAATATCTGACAAATGGCATTCAGCCTATGCCAAGGTCACTGCCTGCCTTGGTCTCCATGACAACCCCCTGGGCCAAGTCTGAGAGGCAGTTAGACTTGGTCTCTGAGATCAGAAGTAAGAAGCCATTGCCAAACATTTAACCCCATGCGGAGCTTACATTGTTTGACTTCTGTCTCAAGTACTCATCACCAGCTCTTGCCTTGTGCATGGGAAATTCCATTCTTCCTCTGCTATTGTTATATCAATGTTTGTGTAACCATGGTGAATATGGACTAGTTTGTGTCATGATGAGTCACATTTACTGATGATGGGTCAGTGAAAAAAGTGTTCCTTCTTGTTTTAGGTCCGAAAAAAAAGTGAAAACATTATCTTCCAGATAATCTGTATAGCCTCAAGAAAAACACCCTACTCCTTCAGCCTTTTCCTATTTGATCAACATTTCCCTACAAATATGAAGGCTGATAGCTTTCAAAACTTAAAAACACATAATGCCTTAAAGGTCACCTATTATGCAAAATCCACTTTTTCTTGTCTTTTATGAATAAACACGTGTCCCCTCTGTGTAAAGAGATTCTGAAAGTTTCAGGAAAAAAAATTCTCTCTCTTTTTGTCCTGATCCATTTAGATAAAACCCTGTCTGAAAATGAGCTGATAAGATTTTGGCCACTTTATGATGTCATAACGATTTTTTGGCTTGTGTAACCATTAGCCAATCACCAACCAAGTTAACCCCCCCACACACCTTATCACCTGAATCTCCTCCTAGAGCACCATTGTGTTCTTTTAAACCAAATATCTCTCAGAGGGGCGTGGGGAGTGGCTCCTTATTTTCATCTAAAGTAACAGACAGAGAATCAGCACTTTTGAAACAGTGCTGAAACAGAGGGGTTTATGGGATGCTACAATGATCTGTTTGGTATTTTAAACTAAACACTTCAGAGACATATATATCTGAGACCTATAATATATTAATGAAAAACCGTATAATAGGGGACCTTTAATCATTCTTCATCTCCATAGTTATTTGATATGATTGGAGAGAGGAAGTCCCAATGTGTTTGCTTTAATGATCCATCTCTGTTTTAATACTATATAGACAAGGCTGTGAGCTCTGCGGGGTGTGTTTTATTGCTCCACTGTCAGGTCCAGAGGTGGATCATTATCGTGTCGCCCTCAAGGCCGGCGTTGCATTCTGCTGAATGGGTAATGAAGAGGAAAGTCTGCAGCTCGTGGGATATCTGTCGTTTTAACAGTGGAACAGTGTTTTCTCAGGTGTATACCAATGAAACATTATGACTCAAGACACCAATGATTAACACGCCGCAGAATGTACAAGACTATAGTACAGTCATACTAGCTGTTTCTATTTTTGTCATTGTGTTCAGTTTTTGACGCTCGCCTGAAGATGGGATGCTCTCTGACATTAGCGTGTCAGTCAGTGTGTGGTGAGACGTAGCCTGGCGTCAGGGCCGTTTCTGTCGATGTGCCCACAGTTGGGAGGGCTTAACTCTGGTCAGGGTGTGTCAGCTTGGTTATGGCATCTCTCCAACTGGAACTGGTTTCCTTGTACTGTACTGTAATACATTAAAAAAAAGGAACAAATACGATGCACAATTTTGAAAGTCATAATTAGAATCTTTAGCAATTAAAGGTGGGGTTTGTAAGTTTGAGAAACCGGCTCGAGATACACTTTTTGTTATATTGCATAGAATGCTCTTAACATCCCGATAGCAATGAATATCTTCAGTGCTTTGACAAAAAAATCCATAAAAAAATGTCATCTGTGGAAGCCGTAGTACTGGAAAAAGCACGACCAATCATCTGAGTCGGCCTGGCTAAAGTAACTGGATGGCCTACTTGCCTGTCAGCCTTCCATCTGCGCACAAACTTATCTCGTGCCCTCATTGGTCATGTGCGCGTTCGTGTGTGTTGGAAGAGGGGCTCTGTAAGGAAGTGGCAGATTTATTTCCGGCTGTGTATTTTCAAATTCTAGCGTACTCGAGCTGGTTTCTCCAAAATGACCTACCCCACCTTTAAACTCACTTCCTCAACTGCAGAGTTAAAAACAAACTGCATTCAAACACCTGTAATGCTGCAACCAATGATTCCATTCTTCAGCTATTTAAATGTGAACTATTTACAAATGTACTCAAAACTTTTTTTTATAGAACCCAATGATGCCAATTTGTAGTACTGAGATGTCCAACCTATGTGACTTTATGTGACTTTTGGCTACTGGTTCCTTGTTTTCTGCAACTGGTTAAACTTTATTTTTGACATTTAGTCATTTCAGATGTGTTTGGATATGTTAATTAAAGTCGTATCTTTACCTAAACACTTATTGATATTCAGTGGATGGCAGTGTCAGGCTGCAGTATGGCAAAATAATAAAATATGTGTGCTTGTGTCTGTGTGCGCAGTAGTAACAGATGCTCAAGTATTTGTGTGTGTGTGTGTTGACAGGTATTTGTTTCTGCATAACCTACCCTGCTGTCATTCCCTTTCACAAGCCGGGGTCTCTGCGCAGTATTGAGGCGGAAGGGCTCATGGTTAAATAGAGTCGCTTGCGCGGCTTCCACCTTGTGCTGCGTGTGAAGTGGCTGCTAAGAGACTGCGAACAGGGAGCGCTTTGTGTGTCCGGCGGAACAAAATGCCTCGCATTGAAAACCCCTCTGTGATACCCCAAATAGAAAGGGAAGAAAGAAGAAAAGGGTTTGCGTGTGTTGGGAATTCACAGTCAACCCAAGTCATGCTGCAGTTCCGTATCCTGATTTTCATATTTTCTCCACAGACAAAGATCTGAAGTTTAATGCATTAGTTATTCTCTTAAATCTGATCTGCACCACATCCTTTTAGAAATAGACATTTGAACCCAAAGGTATACATTCACACACAAATTAAAATCTGAACTTGTCATTAATGCCATGAAAAAAAGTGATAGTGAGTAGAGCTGAACGATTAATCGATTTTAAATCGAAATCGCGATTTTAAATGATGCGATTTTTTTAACTTTTTTTTTTTTTTACAACTTTTTTTCTTGTGTCTCAGTCATCCACACCAATCAGAAGTGCTGTGTACCACATGTACCAGCCATTGTTAATCAATCAGAAGTAGCCCATGATAGAAGGTGATGATGATCCAATCACCTGCCAAGTGCTTCTGAAAGTGCCTACCCTTTCCAAATGGCTTCCAATGGAGCCTTAGACCAGTGGTTCTCAACTTGTCAGGCCTCGGGACCCACTTTTTACTTGGTCAATACATCGCGACCCAACATTTTGAAGCACTCAAATCTATTCAACAAAAAATCGTGCTGTAATATACGCTTTTCAGCATACAATATTAAGAAAAGTGAAGTACAGTGCATATATCCCTTATATCCCTTCACAGAACTAAAGTATGCTTTTAAAAAAGGTTTAATGAGATGATGGAATCAAAGCTGAACTATATAAAAAGGCACACATGCTGTAAACCCAACCCCAGCAGGGGGTCTGGGGGGATTCTCCCC